TCGGCGGGGCCCCTGCGCGCGTGCACCCTCGGCGCCCTGGGGGAGGGGCCCCGCGGAGACCGCGTGATTGCATGTATGCCATGTTAAATTCTCCCCGAAATCTTACGGAGCTGGCATTATTACCTCCATTACACGGAGCTGGAGACTCCTGTAGTCGACTGCCCGAAGTCACAGTCTCGTAGGTAGTCCCTGGTAGATCCTGGATTCGAATCCTCTGTAAGTACCTCCCTTGCCCAATTCAAGTCCCACATTTTCTGAGGCCGAGCTGTGGCTGACAAGTTCGACCACCCTTTAGGAACCATGTGTGCTTATAACTAACGATTACATGTCCGCATTTTGGTTTCTCCCATCTCTCTGGGATCCGGCTCCTGTCTTTTTATCCTCAGGCACTTAGTATATGTTCAATAAATACTTGTTAAAGACCAGTCCAAGCATAGGAAATACTTGTTGAAGAGCAGTCCAAGCTGGTGCAAAGGCCTGGGGGCCTGAAAACAGGACGATTTGGGGAAGCAGCAATTTCATTTGGAGGAAGTGCTAAGAGGCTAAAATGACAGGCAGAGTCCAGGCCCTGAAAAGCTGTGTGCCAAGTTAAACAGACCTCGCCCTGCGGGTAGAGCAGCCAGTGGAAATGATTAAGCGGGGTGCTAGATGATCAGTCTGAGAAGCTCACTGCAAGGCATGAATAATGGATGGCCTGTAAGCTGAGCAGGCTGGTCAGGAGGCTAGTGAGTGGTCCAGGTGAGATGAGGCAGGTAGCAGTTGGAGTGGAAAAGGCAGGACTAGCTGACCCATTCCCTGAAGTGGGGATGGGGAAGGAAAGCATCGGGTTGGGGGAAGGGTTTGGGGAAGGGAGGCGTTGGTTGAATAACTTGCCACGTAAGAGCTTGAAGCGCAGTTATGATGCCACGTTGCATTTATTTCAATATAAACCTTTTGGGGAACCAGCAGTTAGCGTAATGGCTATGTCGCTGGACTCCCACGTAGTCGACCGCGGTTCACGTCCCGGACCCGGTGGCTTAAAACTCACCCTGGGCGCATGTACGTGCATGCCCAAGATCCCGAGAGGAAAAAAAAAAAATATATATATATATATAAACATTTTGCAAATTTAATATCTCAGAAACCCAGATGTGCAAAGTGTGTCATAGTTTTTTTTAAGAATTATTTATTTAATTTTGTTATTATTTTTAAATTTTTATTTATTATTTACATTTAATCATCATGCTTTTTAAAAAAATTATTTTATTGAACTTCATATTTATTTATTTTTAATTTGACCAAGGAGGGACAGAGTGAAAGAGAGGGAAAGTGAGAAAGCAAGTCGCCAGGTCCAGGACTCGAACCATGGTCGGCCACGTAGGAGTCCAGCACCCTTAATCACCACACCACCTACCGGCCTCCATCATACTTTTTTACAGTGTACAAAACTTTTTTTTTTTTCCCAACACAAATATAGGGCATATCAGTCAAGACGAAGACATCCTATACATTATCATCAGCGAATAACTTTTCCTTTTTTTTTTTTTTGAGAGGTTTTTGCTATAAGGCGCGTGCGCTCGCCAGACAGACAGAGAGAGACATAGAGACAGAAAGCGAGAAATCACCCCCCATGGGGGATGGTCATGCCGCAATCCCTTCTCCTCCGTTCTCCTTTCGGGATCTTGGGCACGCACGCACACACACCCGGCGTGATTTCTAAGCCACCGGGTCCGGGACACGAACTGCGGTCGACTACGTGGGAGTCCAGCGACATAGCCATTACGCTAATTGCTGGTTCTCCATAACTTTTCATTTTTTTAAGAGTAATTTTTTATTTAACTTTATTTATTTATTTTATTTTTAATTTTGACCAGAGAGGGACAGAGTGAGAGAGAGAGGGAAAGTGAGAAACAACGCTCCAGGTCTAGGACTCGAACCGCCGTCAGTGGGAGTCCAGCGCCCTTAAACACCACGCCACCTGTCGGCCCGAACTTTTCATTTTTGTGTCAATTAAATGTATCGTATTTATCCCCTGCTCCCTTCCTTCCCCCTATTATTATTATTTTTAATTTGCTATAGGGCACATGCAAGCACTGGAGAGAGAGAAAGAGAAAATGAGAAAGCAAGCCGCCAGTCTGGGACTTGAACTGCAGGTGGCCATGTGGTCGTGCCTTAACTTGCTTCTTCTCTTTTTTGGGGGGGAATCATTTTATTTAAATTTATTTATTTATTTATTTATTTATACATACATACCAGAGAGGGTCAGAGAAAGAGAAAGTAAGAAAGTAAGCAGTTCAGTCCTGGACCTGAACCAACCGCTGTTGGCCGTGTGGGAGCCCAGCATCTTTAACCACCAAGCCAACTGCCCTGATTGCTTCTTATTTAAAAAAATAATTTCCTGAGGCCAGCAGATTGCGTGGTGGTTGAGGTGGACACTTCCACATGGTCGACCCTGGTTCAAGTCCCAGGACCTGGTGGTTTGCTTTCTCACACTCTCTCTATCTCTGTCTCTCTGGTCAAATTAAAATGTATGAATGAATGAATAAATAAAATTAAATAAATAATTCTTAAAAAAAAAAAATTTTCCTCTGGCCAGCCAGTGCAGTGGTGTGATGGTTAAAGTGACTGGATCCCACATAGCTGGCGGCGCACTGTTCAAGTCACAGTCTGGGAAGCTTGGAGAACATGCCGGGTGCGTGCGCATTCATACCCAAAGTCCTGACAGGAGAGAGGAGGAGACAGGATTGCAGGGTGACCAAGCACGGGGAGGGAGGGGGTGCTTTCTCTCGCATGCAGGCACACACACCTAGTGGCAAAACTTTAAAAATAAATAAATTAACTTCTTAAGACAGAAGGAAAAAGACTCCCAATAGGATCTTTATGCCCCAAGTCTCAGTCGGCCTGCATCACAGCCACATATGAGGGATTGGCATGATCTGTGTGGATCTAATTATGCCACCTCTGCATCCCCCCACCCCATGCCCAGAATGGAGCGTTCCTATTTCCAATGGGCTCAGAGTTGTGACTGGGGCCCTTTCCCTAAGGTTAGAGATTTTGCTTACATTTCCATATATAAATATGATCCTCAGAACACCCCCATGAGTAGGCAAAACATGGGTCATTATCTCCATATCACTTTTTTTTTTTTTGGAGGGGTTTTTGCTATAGGGTGCATGAGCTCACCAGAAAGCCAGAGAGACAGACAGAAAGTGAGAAATCACCCCCGAGAGGGGATGGCCATGCGGCAATCCCTTTACCTCCATTCTCTTCTCGGGATCTTAAGCACGCACACACACGCGCTCGGCATGAGTTTAAACCACCAGGTCCAGGACTCCAACTGTGGTCAACAGCATGGGAGTCCAGCGATGTAGCCATTATGCTATCTGCTGGTCCCTCCATAGCATTTTTCAACTTTTTATTTATTTTTTTAAGTTTCTTTCTTTCCTGAGCGAGAGAGAAGGAGGGGGTACCCTTAACCGGGTCTGGCTTCACCACACTTTCTCCCAGCCTTCCAGTCAACCAGAATCACAGATGTGCCCAGTGTGTTCAGGTCAACCCAGGATTCAAACTCAGGGCCTCCCATGTGACTCCATCATTATGCAGCAATGCCCCTACCACCTGTACACCATGGCTGGCCCAGTTTTGTCATACTTTTATGAATGAAAGCAATGCATGTTTATTGCAGAAAACGAAGGTCTCAGGCCAGCTGGTGGCATGGTGGTTACAGCAGCTGGATCCCACATGGCCGACTGTGTGATTTCAGTTCTGGACCCAGTGGCCTGAAAGACACTCTGGGTTCATGTGCACATGTGCCCAAAACCCCAGAAAGAGGGGGAAACAGAGGAGGGTGCATTGCGATGTGACCATCCCCACAGGGCCAGAGTCCATACCAGTCATTCAGCCATGTGGGGTCTGACACCCTCAAACACCACACCACAGGGCCAGCCCTTTCACTTTTAGTTTCAAATTTATTTTCAGATGGAAAAAG